GTTCCCTTTTCACTGCATCTGCATCAAAATCTATTGCTTTTTGATTTTTTAATATTAGCCATTCTGACTTGTGTAAGGTTGTATCTTATTGGGGTTTTAATTTGCACTTCAACATTAGAGATGCTGAACATTTTTTCGTGTTTGTTGGTCATAAGTATATCTTCTTTTGAGATATACTTCTTTATATGATTTGCCCATTTTTTCATGGGGTCGTTTGCCTTTTTCTTGCTGATTTGTTTGAGTTCTTTGTAGATTCTGGAAATTAATTCTTTGTTGGCTGTATAGTTTGAAAATATCTTCTAGAAGGAAAGAAATATCAAAGAGTAAATGTTCAACCTAAGAAAGCAGATAGAAAAAAATTAAGATTAAAAGAAGAAAACACTAAAGTAGTGTTAAAGTGTGGAAATCATTGAAGCAAAATGAGCAAACACTAGAAAAACTAATTAAATCAAAACTGGTCTTAGAAAGATCAATAAAATTGATAAACCCTTAGCTGGACTGATCAGGGAAGAAGAAAAAGCACAAACTACCACGATCAGAATGAAAGAGGGAGTATCATTACAAATTCTACAAACACCAGAAGGATAATAGCTCTTTAACCAAGGACCTGCTAACATGTGCCTCATTCAAACCAAAACTGTGAAGAAGGTGGCCTGGGTTATCACTGAGAAGTACTACACGTGCCTGGGCAACGACTCCCACATGAACAAGTGCATATGCAATGAGATTGCCATTATTCCCAGCAAGAAACTCCACAACAAGATAACTGGCTACCTCGCGCATCTGATGAAGTAGATTCAAAGGGACCCTGTGAGCTGTCTCTCCATCAAGTTGCAGGAGGGGGAGAGAGAAAGGAGTGACAATTATGTTTCAGAGGTTTCAGCACTGGATCAGAAGATTATTTAAATAGATCCTAACACTAAGGAAATGCTGAAGCTTTTGAACTTTGGCCATCAGTCCAAGCTTCAATTCACTCAGCCTACAGTTGAAATGAACTTCTAAATGTCACGTGGCGATGTTTAAGTCTTTCTGAAATGCTGTAATATTTTTAATAAACCTGGGGCAAAAACAACAGCAAAAAAGAATAATAAATGTATGCCAGTAAATTAGACAAGTTAGATGACAAATTCCTTAAAAGCATAAATTACCAAAACTTTTACAAGAAAAAATAGAATATCAGAATAGTCGCATATCTAGTAAATAAATTTTTATCTGTAAGTAAAAACTCTTCCCATAAAGAAAATTCTAGACCTAATGGCCTCACTGGTGAGTTCTATAAAATATTCTATAAAACATTTAAGGAAAGGTTAGTATCAGTTTTCCATAGAGTCCTTCAGAGGAGAAGGGAACACTGGATTTTTCTGAGGTCAGCATTATCCTATACCAAAATTATACAACAGCATGATCACTAATGTCAGTATTTGGAATTACTAATTCCCTGAACTTTTAATGATGTTATGGTTAAAAATTTACCCAGTGTGAATTTGTGAACCTAAACTACCACCTTAGTCTCCCCCCTCCGCCCCCGGCCTGTTAATCGGTTGTCATTTTACCACTACTTTTCAGCTTTTTGAATTTTGCTTTTATTTTTTCTCCATCTTTGAGGGAATTGACCCGTTTGTTATTTGAGTGACTTTTTAAGATTTCATTATTATTCCTTGTATTTCAGACCATCTCTCTGGGATAATTTTCCTCCATCCTGAAACGTATCCTTTAGATGTTTTTCAGTGCAGTTCTCTTGGCATTAAGCTCTTTCAGTTTTTGTTCATCTGAAAATATCTGTATTTTGCCCTTATTTTTGAAATATGTTGTTGGGTTCACAGCGCTGGGTTGACAGTTAATTTCTCTAGACATTTCAGAAGTATTATCTGCTTCTGACACCCTTCGTGCTGTTTAGAAGTGGCTGTCATTCAGTAGATGTTTCTTTATAAGCAATCTGTACTCTTCCTCTGGGTCTTTTGAAGGTCTTCCCTTTGTGTAGTGTTTTTCAGTTTCAATGTGTATGGATATCTTGGGCATGGGTTGTTTTCATAGTTCCTTCTTGGGATATGTTGTGTGCTTTCTGTCCTGGAGATAGCATTTAATGTTACCAGTTCTGTAAATTTGCACTATTTTCTCTTTAAATATTATCTGTTCTTCGGTCTTTCTGTTATCTCCTTTATAGTTTCTGGTTTAAAACATTTAGAACTTTTCATTTTGTCTTCCATATCTTTTTGAAATTTTCTATTTCCTTGTCTCTTTGCTGCATTCTGGATGATATCTTTAGCTGTATCTTCCAGTTCACTATTTCTGTCTCCAGCTATGCTAATTAGCTCTTTAACTCACTAAGTCTTTGTCATTTCATAGTTTTTCCTTTCCACATTTTTCTGTTTGTTTCTAATTGTTCCTTATTGGTTGGTCATTTTATTCTAGCTGTTCTATATTCTATTTCTGGCTATTTAATTATCTGTGTCTGAACCTGGTCAGTTTTTCCTGCTGAGTTTCACTTATAGTGACATGTTTTCTTGTTTACGTGATCTTTATGTTGTGCTCATTTTGATTATTGGGAAGCCAGGGGCTCACGCTGGCTAAGCTCACAGTGGCCCTCAGGATCCCTGCCTCTTCCAGCCACTCACAAGCTCATTTTCTTTGACCTGACTACAGCTCTTCCTTGCTTCAGCCCCAGTGTTTTTTGTCTACTTATTTTTGAAAGTGGGGAGAGGAAGTGAAAAGGGCAGTGCCTTGGATGGTGTATATCCATCCAGAGTTTAGAGTCTAGTTGTTCTGTGAAAGGGAAATATCCCCTTCGGTGCCTGGCCAGCTCTAAAGACCAAGGAAGGTGTCTGGGCTATGCCATATAAACATGCTCTTTCACAATTTCAGTAGAGTTTGGGCAGAGTGGAGTCAGGTATGAGTGTTCAGTCCATTATCTTTGCCAGAAAGTCCCCACATGTAACTTCTCAATGACCTGCCATCTGTCTTCCTCCCTGCTACCACCTGAGTGTTGTTGCTGTGTACAGTGGACCATTCCTGGGATTATCCTCCTACAGCCATGGATGCTGCTGACCAGCAGCATCCTCCTCTTCCTCCTTACTGGTGGGCTGGGCCACCCCTCACTTACTGGGCCAAGCCCAGCAGCTCCCTGGAAACCCAGCACACGTGTGTCCAGCTGATGTGTGTGGCATGCAGCTCTCTGTGTAGATGCTGGGCCCTTTCTTCCGCCCCAGGTGCTCTCATCCACCTGTGGTTGTTCAGTGTGTGGTAGCACTATAGACCTTGCACAGGGTCCTAGGTGTGGACTTGTCCCCTCTCAATCCCTCCTTCTCTCCAGGCTGAACTTGTTGGGTCAAGACCTTTCTAAAACTGGGATGGGGGTTAACTGCTTAGATATCTCATGTTAAGTACAGGTCCATATGTATTCAGGTTGCCTTTTCATTAGAACAAATCCAGAATTTGTCTACTTCTTGCCACTTCCACAGGTGTCTCTGTGGCCCAAAACTCCCTCTTCCTTTTAGATTAATGGAAGGGTCTCTCTTCTCCCTTTTCCTGCCTTTTCCCCCCTACTCACTATGACCAAATGGCAGCCAGTTGACCCCTTACAGCATGTGTGGTGGAAATGCTGTTTCTACACTCATGGCCTACACCTCCCTCAGGTAGGGGTAGCAGCCTCAGCCCTGTCTGACCTGCCCTGGTGCCAGGCTTTCCTCAGTTTCCAGCAGCCACATGGGACCCCATATAGCAGGGCCTTTGCCTCAGTTGCTCAGCAGCAGGTCTTCCACAGGTCCACTCACCTCAGCAGGGCACTACTCAGATGTGGACTTGTACTCTTTCTGAAGAGTGGTGGCATCCACCCCCTTCTGCAGTGCCCTCAGGGTTCCTAACAGAACAGGCCTTTGCTAGTTGGCTTCCACTTTTGTTCCTCGAGTCTCAGTCCTTAGCACAGCAGCGGCCATCCTCGGGCAGCTTCTATAAAGGTCCTTCTGTGTCCACACACACCCTGGGGTCCCTGAGGCCGAGGGAACAGCCCTGCCACCTCTCACCTGCGCAGCACATGTTCTGACCCCAAAGTAATACCTGCCAGACTCTGATCCCCAGCTCTATGCTCCAAGGGGAGGCAGGCAGATGTGGGTGTCCGCAGGGGTCCCCTCTACTGCCTCTCTTCCAGCATTTCCATGTTCTTATGGACTCACAGGCCCTGAAGCAGTGCGTGGTTTGTGCATCTGACCCCGCAGTCCTTGGGGGAGGATCCGAGTGCTTAGACCTTCATCATGTGACTGAAGCATTTAGCCTTTTGTCACGTGACAGGAGCACTCTGCCCTTGGTCATGTGACTGGAGCACTTGGCCCTTCACATGCGACTGGGGCGCTTTGCCGCTCATCATTTGTGACTGAGGCACTTCACCCTTTGTCGTGTGACTGGAGCATTTCACCCTCTGCTCAGGTCTGGGCCTGTCACCGACTATATAGCTTGGCTTTGCTCCTGGCCTGGTGGTGTAGTCAGTGTGCTCTCTGGCCACCTGACCCAGCAGCTCAGCAGCCGGGTGGTCCCACTGACATGAGGCATCTGGCTTGGTTGTGAGTTCACGATCCAGGGACCTTCAGCTCCTGTATCTAGTGTGAGTGTCCCACAGAGTTCATGGCCACTTCTTCTAGGGACCTCCCTGTGTGATGGATGGGTCCAGAGCTCTCATGTTTAGCAGCATTCACTGTTTCTGCACTCATGTCCCACACCTCACTCAGGTAGGGATAGCAGCCTCAGCCCTGCTATCAGAGCTGCTGCTCTGCTGCTGCCACTTTTCTCTATAACCTCAGGGCCCACAGCCAACTTCTGCTGGGGGAGGCCTGTGAGTGTACACTTGCCTTCCCACGGCCCGTCCCCTTGCCTCATGCCCATGACAGCACCGCAGGGTGCCTTTTTAATGTATGTCCCCTGTTAACTCAGACCTAAGTGTCCCTTCATCCCTTCGCCACATGGTGTCCAGGAAAGGTGTATCAGGAACAGAGAGTATTCAAATGCAGGGATCAGTAACATGAAACACCAAGTGAAGTTTATTTCTCGCCTATCACCACTGCTTGGATGCTTGCTCCAGGGAGTAGCTCAGCGTTGGCCTGGAGTCAGGTCTGTGGTATCCCGTAAGTGTGTGGGTACCAAACCCTGGTCCAAGGGGTGCCATCGTACCTGGCTCTGTATGTTCTCTGCATGAAGACAACTCCCAGAGCAGCAATAAATTATATGGAGACATAGTTTAGAGTGGACAGAGACTCGTGAGGCTTGGGAAGGAATGGTTGGTGTGGAAGGATTCTGAGAGCAGACAGGATGGTGGTGGGGGAGGCAGGAGAACAAAGTTGAGAAAGGAGCCCGTTCCCGGACATCCCCCCCCCAGCCACCAGAGGGCCCTTCTGTGCAGAGTTGTCAACCTGTATGCACCGCAGTTAGGAAAGGCACAAAACACTTCATCCACCTGCCTGCCATGGGCCTGCGTCGGAGGCCCCATGCCCCAGACCTGAGCACCCAAGTCTCGAGGGGGTTCAAGGGGCTGCAGGGCTCTGATCTTAGACACAGTTATCAGGGACACACTCAGTCTCTTCTTCGAGCTTGGGACAGGGGATCCCATTGTTGGCGGGCTGAACACGGACATAGCGAGTTCTGCTCTTGGCTCCCAGCTTCCCACAGGGGCCTCCACACAGTCCCCAGGATGACCACAGCGAGACCTCACAGTCCAGCGGTGTTTCTGGAACTGGACCAAGCATAGGAGACCAACAGTGAGCACTTGTGTAAAGAGGTGCTTTGTGGAACAGAAGGGAACCCCCGCCCCCATGTGCATGATCTCACAGGAGACATCTCCACACTTCAGAGTCCTAGGGACACTTGCTTTGCTCAGCACAATCTCAAAGTGAGCTCCAAGATGGATGTGCATCTCTACGGTAAGAGCGGAGTCTGTTGCTCAAGTCTCTGTGGTGGCTAGGGCTTTTGGAAACAAACTCTTACCTCATGGCAGACTGAGGCCTCTAGAAGTTCCATAGGGACCCCAGGAGTAAGAAGCACATTCCTGCTGCAGAAGGACATTCCTGCCCTGAAGCAGAGCAGCTCCAACGAGTCTAGACCCTCTGCCACATCTATCCTAATGACAGACATGGTTCTCAAGATATGTTGTAAAGAGTGGAGAAAGGAGAGGTCGGATGCCAGGTGCTGTGCCTGGACTGGTCAAGCAGCCTGACTAGGCCCACACCTGGAGTGACCCTCTCCACAGAGAGAATGGAACAGATCTGCAAAGACCCTAGGAACTGAGGCTTCAGGGAGGCATGCGTGTAGCAAGAAGCCTGAGAGTCAACAGCCAGCCTGGGTGAGACCCCTGTCCCTTACTGCCACGTGGCACCAGAGACCCAGCCACTTCCTAGCTTCCTGACTGTGAGACTGGGGCGGTCTGAGCACCCCTACCCCAGCTGCAGAGAGGAGTCAGTGACACTCGCAGCCACCCAGGCCCACAGTAAGGGCTTCATACATGGACCCCAGATCCTACAGATCCCTGTAAGTAGGAGATCAGGGAGGAGCCAGGCTGGCTTGGCAGGTCTGGTGGGAAACTCGGGTGGCCCCACCATGGGCCAGACCCAGCAGTGGATGTGCTCTGTCCAGACAGGTACAGGAGGCACCAGAGGGACTGATGGGCGCAGCTGTAGGCATCCTTCTCAGAGCTGCATACATTTGAGGTGCATTGGGTGCGGGGTGCCATGCCATCTTCGTTACTCCTCAGACATCATGGGTGTTGGGTGAAGAAAGGGCTCAGCTCAGTCCTGCCCAGCTCTTTGAGGGGAGTTCTCTAGACACAGGGCTGCTGTCACCAGCTCTGTGAGGTAGTCCCTGGCCAGCACAGCTGGCTCTGTCCCCCTCCCACCCTCACCTCTCTATGCCCCATCTCCCAAATCAGAGCCCTCAACACTGTCTCCACCTGGCCTTCCTCTGCAGTGCCACTTCCTCTTTCCCCATAGCTGACTATTCCCCTCCTGGCCCAAGGCACTGGCCACGTCCCTCCTCCCCCACGGGTGGGGCAAATTGCACCTCTCTGGGCCATCTGCCCATGAAGGGTTCTTCCTGCCAGACTGGCCACATCTGTGTTATGTGACTGGTGCTCAGTCATATTTGCCCATTGAATAAATGACTTGTGTGGGTACACCTGGAATAGCACATCCAATTGGACACACAAACAAGGACACCCAGCCCAAGCTGGACAGGGGGTAGCCCCACAGTCTGGTGTCTGTAAGCTGCCTTCTGAAAGCAAGAGCCAGAGGCACCAAGACCGGTGCTGGATGTGGGAAGGCCAGCTCCTCTCAAATGAGGAAGAAGAACCCAGTGCTGGGCACAGCCTCTGGTTGGAGTGTGGTTCCCACTCGCCATGCAGAGCTCATGCCTTCTGTATGAGCCTGATGTGACCTTCGACTCCAGAGAGAGGCCAACCCGAGAGGCTGGGGTGTGTGAGGTGGCCCCAAGCCTCCCTCAACTTGGAAGGCCATGACCCATCATTGATGAGGCTCTTCAGTGTGCCAGATTTGGGTTGACTTTAGTCCTTCCTCTGTTCCCATCAGCTGTAACATGCAGGTTCCCTCTCAGACACTCTCTGGGGCCTCTTTTCTTTATCACCTCTGGGCTGTATAGTGTAAGATTCTTTCAGCAACAAGGATTGTGGAAGTGTTACATCTTCAGTTTAGTATTAAGACCAGTCAAACCCTAAGTTTTTAAAATTAGCACCATCTTGTAATGAATGCTGTGAATCCTTTCCTTGGAATTGCTCAGAGCCTCAGGTTCACAGGACCCAAGGAGCAGAAGTCCCCCAGGTACCTTGGAGAGGCTCCATACCTTTAAGGACCATGTGAAGGGTGCGAGCTGACCCACACTGTGCTCTTGTGGGGGGAGTCTGAGCCAGAGCTAAGGGCCACTGCATGTCACCAGGTGACAAGTGCCCCATGGGGTGCAGGACATACAAATGCTAAGCCATGGCTTCTCCTCCCTCAGGACACAGTCTGTGGTGGACATGAGGTTGCCCTCAGAGCCTGAGTGCCTCAGCCAGCTGAAGTTATGAGTTAACAGGGATTCTGTGCACTTTCTAGCCCGTGACCTAACTCCTGCCACCTGCAGTGCATGGGGTGGAAAACTGGGCACTCACCTGAGAGGCTGTCGACTATTTCGTTGTCCCTGCTGGCCAGGCCTGGAGCAGGTGGGACAAATGCCCTGGGACTCTGCCGGAGTTGCACCAGGGTGACCCTGGCGATGGGAGGCAGAGACTTCAGCCGCGGGTAGTAGAAGGAGTTTGCTGGGTGATTGGGTGAGGAGGATGTTATCTGGGGTGGAGAAAGAGGGGGTTAGCAGGAGGGGGACTTCTCAGACCAGAGAGGTGAGCGTGGGAGGGGGACAGAGCCAGCTGTGCTGGCCAGGGACCACCTCGTAGAGCTAGTTAGCAGGAAGGGTGCTTCTCTTGTGTGCCAGTCCCAATGACTCAACATCCAGCAAGGCAGTGCTGGAACAGACCCCACCTGGGCTCCTCTGAGCGACTCAATAGCCTGCACAGCTGTTCCTACATCCTTAGCCTCTCTCTGAGCACTGGGAGCCTGCCGTGCCCCCAAGTAGTTAGGGATGTGGCAGCAGGGTCACATGTGCTCCTCGCAACAGCCCCAAGAGACAGGCTTGGAAACTGAAGCCAATAAGGATCAGGGCTCTTCAGAACCCTATCCTACCCTCTCTCTGCGGGGCACCAGAAACAGAGCCCAAAGTGAGGCTGCCCAAAAAGCCTGCTCTGGTTCTCTAGGAGTTGGGGCCGGGAGGAGGCACAGCCAGGTCCCAACTCCACCCCACTGGGACCACAGTGTGAGGCCACCAAGGGCAGTGAGGGCTGTGGGTCACTGACCTCGGTCACCGTGTCCTGCGGGATGGTCGCAAAGTTTGGGGAGGAGAAAGTGAAGCCGCTGTCTGTCCCAGCGTCATACGGGTACAGGTCCAAGGCAGCCTGCTCCTTCCAGCGGTCCCCCGCACACAGGTCCAGGCTGTCCACGCCCACAAACCAGTCCGGGCTGGGGACAATGCGCACCACGAAGGAGACCTGGGAGCAGCCGTGGGGCTCAGCTGTGCGGCCCCACTTCCCCAGCCCAGGCCCCACCCCACCTCCCCCCGCCGGCTCACCAGTGAGTGCCTGGAGTGCACCTCCAGCTCTCCCGAGGTCTGCCCCGTGCCACTGGGGATGGCGGAGGCCGAGAACACCCCATGCACGCTCTGGAGCTTCTCCCCCGCGGCCTCGATCTCCTTCATCAGCGCCCAGGCCTCCCCTTGCTCCGCAAATTCCCGCAACCCATTGCTGACATATTCGTTCTTCCTCCACATGCTGTAGTCGGAGCTGTGTGCTGCCCCTGGGGGCCACCCAGTCAGTCAGCAGCCAGCTATGAGTGGCAGCACAACCCCAGGCCTAGATCCCAGCTGCCACCCAGAGTGGACACTACATCCCTCCCCTAATCATCGGCTCCCCTGGCCACTAGGCAAGGAATCACGTCCTTCCCCATCACGAGGGCACTGTGGCATCCTGTGGCTGCACACTGCCTGGACTCCTGGTTGGTGTAACCAGCGTCCAGCCAGCCCTCCCCAGGACTCCACCGTCTTGCCTCCCCGTCCCAGAGCCCTGACATCACCTGCCAGCACACAGTAGGAGCTTAGCGAATACTTTTCCACTAGAGTCTATTGGATGCAATGTGCCCTCCAAACTGTGGAGCGTTGTGCTTCTGTTACAGAGACTGTTTCCCAGTGCTGGAGCCCTCTAGAGAGAACAGGGTCGCTGCTGAACAAGGCCTAAATGGCAGGTGAGGGGGCTGCACTCACCCAGCAGGGAAGACCACTGCGCGGGGGGCCGGAACAGCGGGTACTGCTTGGGGAAGGCCGTCTGGCTCCACTTGCCGGTGAAGGTGATGCTGTATCTGGCCAGGGGCCTGGCGGTGCACACGGACTCCCCGCCAAGAGGCTGGCCGGCTGCGGAGCCCAGTGTGGCCAGGAAGAGAGCCCAGAGAGCCCTCCCCAGGGCGGCGGCCGGGCTCGAGTTTTCCATCCCTAGAGGCAGACAGAGCGTCCGCGCTGACACCAGCAGCGCCCGGGCGCTGTCGGCTCTGTCGGCCCCGGGCCGAGACCCGGGAGAGCGCCGCGCGGCATTCTGGGCGCCGGGGGGCTCTAAGGATGCCTGAGTACCTGCACAGCTCCGCTCCGCAAAGCCCCGAGCCCCTGTACAGGGAAGCAGAGGCGCGCGCGGGTAGATCCGTGTGTCTGCGAGAAGCAGTGCACAGCCGTCAGGGATCCCTGCGCTTGGGGCGCGCGCAGAGCTGAGCGGGCGTGCGGCTCCCCGGCGTGTCTGGGCGCGGCGTCCGGGAGGGGCACCCTTGCCCCGCTCCCCACCGCGCCAGTGCCAAAGAAGCCCGGGACCGAGCGGAGACTTGGCAGACCGACCGTGCCCAGGGCTAGCCAAGCTCGGGCCGCAGCCGACCCAAGACGGGTCTCCCTCTTGGGGTGCTGCGGGTCTCCGGGCGGAGGGGAGTGCCAGCAGGCCGGGCCCTCCCCGGT